CCCAGAGGGAACCCCGGACCAGAGTTCAGTCCCGGACGGAGCAGGCGAAGTCCAGGAGGATGTGGTGCCTGTTCCAGGAGAAGCAGCGGCAGCACCGGCCGACGGTGCCCAAGCACCAGAAGTGACAGCACCGGCCGACGGTGCCGAAGCGCCAGTCTCTCCAGACGCTCCGCCCCCGCCCCAACCAAGCCGGGGCTCCGCACGCGCCAAGAGCATCCTGGGGAAGGACGTGAGCCTCTCGTGCACCAACGAGGACCGGGGCTGAAGCTCGCGGGGGTGCACGTGGCCCGCCGCCTTTACTGCTTCATCTCCGCCGGGGCGCTAATCCCGCTCCTGACGAGCGTCGTAAAATTGAGCGCTGCGGAGAAGACACCTGGACGTCTTGTGTCCCTTTTGATCCGTTTTATGTCCAAACATTAGACGGCCCAGGAGCGACAAATCACGTCGTAAATAATAAAAGGAGCTTGCCGGCTGTGCGCCCCGCTTGAAAGTGGCAAGTAAAAAAGCCATGGCCTGTTTTATTTGTTATTTTATTTTTACCTTTTTGTTATGTAATATTGGTTAATTTTTATAATTTTTGCAGTGTTTTAGAGTGTTTTTGTGTTGTTGTTTTTTAACCTTTCCTGAGTATGTCTTTTTATTACTAATTGATGGTTAATTTTTATAAAGTCAGATTTCCTCGTTGGTGTAGTTTCCTTGTGTATCGGCCGATGACTTTTGGTTCTCGGCGCGCAGCTTCCCCTCCGAGAGCCCGGCCACCCCTGCCGAGGCCCCTCCTGCCACGCCTCACTACCGCCCTGCCCTACAGGGGAAACCAGAATCGTGAGGCAAGACTCGTCCCCGGAGGGGAGCGACCCGCGAGCCAACGCGGAGCCAAGGGGACCCTGACGCAATCTAGAGCCCCGCCATATGCCGGAATGTGCCACGCGCACCCAAGGACACACCTCCACCAAAGGCTTTTTTTTTTCACCTCCTCCTTCCTCTTCTCGCCCTCTTCCCCGTGCAGCTCGAGAAGGAGGAGGAGGAGGGAAAAGATCCGAATTGAGAAAGACCGCGAATAATCGACGCGGGGTGGTGACCTGCGGAGAGG